CGGCAGAAGAATGCCTCATTCCGAGAGCAACCAGAGGGACCAGCCTTTTCATTATCTTTACGCATCTTCTGTCCATTTCGCATTTCGGTGAAACCATCGAGTGCGAGCTGGAGAGTTTTAGACCAAAGCCACTGGCTCAATTGACTAATAAAATAGAATATGCAATCAATACTGAGCGAGCGATGCATAAAACGACACTTACGAATGAACTGGGTCTTCAGGTTTGAAGTTTCCGGATGGGGGTCCCTTTTGGTACTCCGTGACAGCATTGTCACCAAAATCAAGGCGCAGTCGCAGCCAAGACCGCTCGATTGAGATATTGTGCACACTTCGAAGATAACAGTGAGCAGGCAGCGTACCAATGTCGTAGTCAGGATGAAAAATTTGGCTGCAGAGACATGAGGACGATAGATTAGAATTATCATGAAAGGAAACTGCACCGAAGAGCATTAACAAGCCCATACAGTTGTGTCGTTTCTGAGCCGCAATCAGTACTAAACTGGAGAGGAAGCCCTGAGCGCGACATCAGTTTCAATATAAGGATGTGGTAATAATCACGTACCTTTGTATTTGAGGACGAGGCAAAGAAATAAATAGCCGATTATGTCACCCATTCGATTGCTTGGAACAACCCGTGCAGCGAGCCATCTCGCTGTTGCATCATCGACGACAGCCCATATTGGGAAACCTATCTTATAGAGCTTATCGTGGCCGTCGCCTGACCACCTCTCGTGGACGCCAATTGGTGCCTTGGGTACACGGTGGATCCTCTTTGCCCCCGGCTCACGAGCAAGAAACGCATCCGCATCATGAAGGTGCATGATGCCAGATATAGTGTCACGCGCCAATTGAATACCCTGGTCGTGGGCAATGTGATTTTTGATAGTCCCGAGCCCTTGTCCTTTCGAAGGGTCTCTGTCAAGCTGTTGTAAAACAACTTGCTCTTTCTCCTTTTCGGTGAGCTTTTGCAGTTTGGAACGAGGTCCCAATAACTGAAGGTCATTCCTCCGACGCTTGATAGAAGAGACACTGATCAAGTGCACGATTTTAAGTTATTAGGCTGAAAGATGTTCGACAATAAATGGATTACCTGGCTGAAATCCCGTACTCTGCAAACAGCCTCTGCTTTATACGGCTATTACTGGACAATCCCTCGCGATGAAATTTCGTCAGCGCTTCAGCGAGACGAGGGTCATCCACAGACGCTAAACTGTTTTTAGGACATTGTAATCAAACATATTGAGATGATATACGCACGGACAGTAGCATGTTGATTTTTACCCATAGGGTTGCGGTTATGGGACGACATTCGTTGAAGGTGCCGGCAAAGACAAAACAATAGTTAAGGGACAAGCAGAGGGTGACAAGCGCGATTTGGCTATCGAAACGTCAACGGGACGGTGATAACGCCGAAGTGAGCACGGTACAGGATGGCAAGCACTGGAAGAAAACCGCAGTTCGACCGTTGAAAGGGTCTTCAACTGATCACTGAGGTGAACAAGCAGACTATTTATATAAGTTGTACACAACCGCAACTGCTGTGAGACGAATTGTGGCATTCAATTTGCGGGCAGTCCATGTGGATGGTAGTTCTGAATTGGAGTTGCAGAACTGCATATCAGGTCAGGTAGCACCTTTAAGTTTCATATGAGTATGAGTGTAAATTTCGGGACAATAGGAATCAAACAGAAAGTAATGCACCTTGCCGCCGCCTGGAGTCAAAAGGCCGCTGCTGCGATGCCGAGGACACCGCCAAATCAGTTTCTTCTATCACACCTGGGCTTGCCTTCGAGGCACAGGCGTGCACTAAATCACCTCGAGAACAGGTTTCTTGGCACGTCTCGCAGAAGACGAGGACTAGCCACAGAAAATTATGTACGTGTGCCTGGTGTTCTCCTGCCATGGGCTTTCCAACTTGTCTGGGCGCTTGCACCGGTACTTGGGATGACGATGAAAGTTGTAGTTATATTATTTCGCAAAGGTATGACCTTGTGCATCCCAACCATCTCAACCTTCGTAAACTTCCTCATTCGTACAAGAGTAATCCGCACAGGCATCCTTTCGGAACCATAAGTGAGATTTCAAAAGAAAGATAGGAAAACATACGGCTGAGCGCTCCGCAGAAAACGTATTGATAGAAAACACACACTGCAGCTCGCTAGAATAGGTCACTTTACATGGAAAGGACTTCTTCAAATCGAGGGTGTTGAGAGAGCCATAAGGGAACATCTCGAGTATACGTGTGAGCGCTACGCAGAAAACGTATTGATAGAAAACACACTGCAGCTCGCTAAAATGGGTCACTTTACATGGAAAGGACGTCAATTGGCTGGGATCATACAGCGAAGCTTTTATTCAATTCACGGTTAATCCATGCGTGCACGTTGGAGTCGCCGCAGCTTCTGAATATCAAAGAAAGTAGTACCTAGAAATTTACGTGTGAGATTAGTGAAAAGAACGGTGGAAACAACACACTCTAACTGAAATCAGGCCATGCTTGGTGCGAGGGCTTTTGCTCATTCAGATCGAGGGTGTTGAGAGAGACATAAGAAAATACAATCGACGACGGACGTGGCCAAAAACAGGGTGGTAACATCACATGACCACACCATGAGTTATGACTTCAAGTTCCAAAGATATCGTTCAATATACTTTGTATAATGGAAATAAAGTGTTTTCCAAGTGTTTTCTTTCGCAGAAAACATATGAAAGTCCAATCTACGGCTACAGACTTTCCAAACAATCAATATGAATACTTATGTGGATATGCAAAGAGGTTTTCGTTAAGTTTTCGTATGACTTTCAAGAAGAAATACTGAAACAGTACTGAAACCAGCTGTTTATTCACGGAAAACATACGCGTTGTCACCCATGCCTACAGGCAGCTATTAGTTTTCATTTCATATTGTCACGCACTCAGAATTCGTGAAGAAGCGGTGCCAGTTCCCCCAAACACCCCTCGGAAATCAACTTCTCTTACCAATTACAGACCTGAGCCCAGCCGCCAACGGTACAAGATGTCCATCATCTTGATTTTCCATACCGCGTAATTGTCCGCGCCTTTAAGCGGTTCAATCCGGTAAACATTCGATGATCCATTACAGTGCCTTGCATAATGCTTTGCAGCGTGAATTTTTTGAAATTGTATTTGGCTGTGTTTAAACTGGTCCTGAGATGTCACATTCAGGCTTATTCCGGACATAGATCATTTCGTTGGGCCTTAGTTGTGACATATTAGGTTCACTACAAATATAATCAAATACGATTTGAAAAAATTCATGCTGCAAAGCATTATGCAAGACACTGTATTGGTCTCCATTTGCTGCTATGTAATTGATAGGGTAACGTGTGATATGGTATCGTGTATGATAAAGTCTGTGATGTGGTGATATAGCGGTATGATAAAGTTTTGTATAGTGTGTGTAGTATGTTTAGGGCTCGGGGCCCATAACCTGTTGGAGCAGCGAGTACGAGGGGTAGTGGTTGAGTGAGAAGGTAATGAATTCGGGGACTCTCAGTCCCCCTTATATACTACAAACATATGTAACTAGAATATACTACAAACTACTATAACTATCTACATTGTCCTATATGAGACTAGTACGTGCGCGTATGCACGGGATCGGCATACCGGAGTTGCCGGTCCGCCTCGACTATTCAACAGACAGACTTTTTGAAAGTTCTGTTCAAAACCTCTGAAGTTGCCTCCACGGAAGGTGGTTTGGAACGGAAAGGTACCGAGCAAGCATATAAATTTGAAATTCCCAGGATAAGCGCAGCGCCCTGAGTTTCGAGCAAAATGAATGCTGGCCCTGTTCTTATCTTTGACGCCGTTCACGTAGGACGGCAACGACCTTTTTTTTCTTTTCTTTCAAACCAGCTCTTTCGCCAGCTTGAATGGCGCCTCACAAAGACGCGAAACCTGCTTCAAAGGCGCTAGTGGTACGCCCCGCTTTACAACTGTAAACGACCGAAAAGCTTATCTGACTCTCCTCGTAGACTGGTGTTGTCGTTTTTTATCTGGTGGCTGCATTGTCGGTACGTTCTCACTTGTTGAAATGCGGAAGTGAACTTACACACTACCACTAGATGGTCATGGCGTGCGGCAATTTCTCTTGTCCTCCTTTGTAGAAACGCTCAACGATCACTTGCAGCAACAAATGGGTTCTGAACGTCACTTCAATCCCGCTCTTCTTCCTCTGGACCCAATTAACAATCGCCTCCCTCCTCTTCGTAATATCCGACACGCTACGCATCCTACCCGACCGTCTAACATTCGACCTGGAAACATGTAAAGGCCTCGTCCCAATGGTCGGCTTGAACGTACTCGGTTTAAGGTCAGTCCCCCCACCCATCCCCTTGTAGTACCCCCCAAAAGAAACTCACGACTCCACACAGCTTTAGCAACTACACCCTCAAATACGTCGACGCCTCCTTCTACCAAGTCGCTCGCGGCCTCGTTCTCCCCTTCACAGTCTTCACCTCTTTCATAGTCCTCCACTCCCGCCCATCCCTACGCATCCTCCTCACATGCGGCGTCGTCACACTCGGATTCTTCATCGGCGTGTTCCTAGATGGAACACCCATCTCCCTCGTCGGTGTCTTTTTCGGTGTCGCCAGCTCGGCGATCACGGCTACCCATTCCGTGGTTATCAAGCAAAGCCTTAACGTCGTTAATGGGAGCGCGCTTGCGCTGTCGTGGTATACTAACTTGTTGAGCGCTATTGTGCTGCTGCCGCTTCTTGTTCTGGTTGGTGAAGGTCCGGATGTGGTCAAGTTGCTGTTTGGCGTCGAGGAGCTTTTGGTCAAGGCTGGTGCTATGAGTCCATTGAGGACATTCCTTTGGGGATCTCTGATCACTGTAAGCCTCGCCCTTTCTCAGACACGTTGAATCATTCATGCTCATCTTTACCAAAGGGCATCCTTGGATTCATGATGAGCTTCGCCAGTCTACTTTCCATCAAAGTGACATCCCCAATCACTCACATGGTATCCTCAGCCGTTCGCGGCGTACTTTCATCCGTTCTTGGAATGTGGATATTCCACGACGTTATTACAGGGTACGTCTGCCCCCATAATCCCATATCTCATCCTCCGTGTTCCCGTCTTCCATGACTCGATCTGACGTATACATCTCCCTCAGGGGCCGTGCCTCTTCAATAGCTACCATTCTCTTCGGCTCCCTAATGTACACCTGGGTAAAACATCAAGAATCGCAGCCCGCTTCCAACTCTTCAAGTTCGAAAGACGCATATGACCGACTCAAGATGGACGTTGAATCAATGGCGGAGTCGAATCCCAGATAGCTACTATAGCCTACACCCACGATCGTTGCTTGACAGTATTTATTTCTTAGAGAAGCGCGCAGCAGGACTTTAGCATAGACACTGACGCGCGTGATGTGTGTAATACCCATCTTCGTCGAGAGCAGGGATGTGTACATTATAATTATCAGACCTGCTATCGTCTATTTTCCAACTGCTTCGTCACTCCTTCCAAAGATGCGCAGGAAGTATATTAGTGATAGCCCAAGAGACGTCTATAAGTATGTCAAAATGTTACAGGATGATCTGTCCTCTCTTTCTCTTCAAAGTTGCATTACCTCTTTATCGACATCCTGTACTCTTCGCCTGCGGTAAAGCAGGCAACTTCAATCCCCGGCCACACCTCTCCAGATTCCCATCCGTCAACTCGTACGCGGGCCGGTACCGCGGAGTTGCATCTTCGGTAGTTGAGGACCGTGATGGTTCGACCGGAGGGACGCCGTTCGACCGTGATGGTGTTGATGACGTACAAGACTCTGGCGAAACAGGTGTAGATAGTGGTGTTTTCCCTTCTACCAAAGGCTTCTGCTCTGGGACAAGAAGGGCAGGGTTGGGAAAAGTATTGTAAGTCGATCCTAGGGATGTGTAACTGAAGAAAAAAGAAGTTTAGAACAGAGCCAGATAAGAGAAGGGGGAAGAAACGTTACCCTTGATCGTATAAATCACAATACGGCACCTCAAGCTGCCGAAGGAACTTCCACACGTCCGCGTAGGACCAGTTGATTATTGGGTTTACGCGTTCAAAACATGGCCAGCCGGGGTCCGTCATATTTCTGTGAGATAATGTAGCTACACTAACAATCAACCGGAACGAAAATAAGAAGACGTGGGGTGAACGTACCCCCATGAGGATCCGTTCGGCGGGTACCAATCAAGATGGCAGTGACCTGTGGGAAGCGCTCCTTGTACATCGCCAATGCGTGAAGCATCCCCTCCCCAGGTCTAATCTTCCCTGCTGCTTTGGGAGCACCCGGCTCACCCGGCCCTGTAGTAAGCGTAGGGTCTACTTGGGATAGTGCAGACCGACACGAAAATAAATCGAGGTTGTACGTCTTTTCCGTCTTTGAGATGAAGGCTTCTAATGAAGGAAAGGGCGAGGGTACGGGGATGTATATCGAGTGAATGGGTTTCATCTCTTCGGAGAGTTGTAGCCGCCGTGCGATGGCTCCTGCGTAGAGGTGCAGAAGGACTGTGCCTATGAAAATGAGAAGAGTTGATGCTTGTCAATGGAGTGATGCGGGAAGGAAAACTCACAGTCTTTTCCGCCGTTGAAGCTGATAGAGAGGCCGTCTTGCCTTTGAGTAGTATTATTGTAAGGTCATCAACTGGCCCGTTACGAGAACCTCTCACACACCCGTGTGTATCCAAGGCATGATCAATGACTTCCAGAGCTTCCTTGACCAGCGGCCCGAGGGGGTCGTCGGGAGAGTTGGCGAGGGCGTATGCGCCCTCTGCGATGCGTTTGCAGTTCATGAGTGGGTTGTGCAGGTATCTGGACGCACGATCTAAGTAGGCGGTGAGGGAGTGGCGAAGACGGAGGAGCGGGATAATTCTATATCACGTGTTATATCGAGCTTTAGATAAGAAATTATCTAATCTAGCCTATGCATTGCTAACCAACATTCTCTCCTTCATCCCTTCTGTCAGGTCGACGTTGACCACGATTAATAGTGACGATTCTGAGGAACCCAATAACTTGACGACCTAGAGCTCCTCCATCTCATCATGTCAAACGTCGTCCTCGTCACAGGAGGAACGGGGCTAGTGGGGAAAGCGATAAAGCATATCGTTGATACCGAACCCGAAGGATCGCGTTTTGGAAAGCGAGATGGCGAGACTTGGATATTCGCCAGTTCATCAGAGGCCGATCTGAGGTGAGGAGGGTCGTAGGACTTATCGCTTTCTCGCCCCCTGCTTATCATACACAGAGATCCTGCACAGACGCGTCAGTTGTATGAGAAGTACAAGCCTACACATGTCATCCACCTCGCTGCTCTTGGTGCGTGAGTTCAAGCCGTAATAAGAACAGGCAAAAGCTGATTTTCTTCTCTAGTCGGAGGCTTGTTCAAGAATATGAAATACAAGGCACGCTCTCTAACCTTCTTTTACCCCCACAGATCGCTCGCTGACCATCTAACTAACAGCTCACCTTCCTTCGAGACAATATCCTCATCAACGATAACGTCCTACACGCCGCCTACGAACACAAAACCACCAAAGTCATCTCATGTCTCTCAACATGCGTTTTCCCAGATAAAGTCCAGTACCCCCTTGACGAAACTAAGATCCACAGTGGACCACCACACGAAAGTAACTTTGGCTACGCCCATGCGAAACGCATGGTCGATGTTCAGAATCAGTGCGCTTCATCTCTTTCTTTCAAACCCCTTTGTTGGTGGAGTTGATTACGATTCATAGTGCGTACAAGGAGGAATTCGGGTGTAACTTCACTTCGGCGATACCCACGAACGTGTTTGGGCCTCATGACAACTTGTACGTGAAGCGCTTCCTTACTTCCCTTTCAGGTGGTTGAATAGGTTTTAGTGATCTAGAAGATTCACACGTCATCCCTGGGCTCATTCACAAGTGTTACCTAGCAAAGAGTGCGTTCATCTAGCTCTATTCCACTTCTGAATGATATATATGACCTGGACTAGAGAACGACACACCTTTCGTCGTCGCAGGGACAGGGAAACCACTTCGCCAATTCATCTTCTCACATGACCTTGCGAAACTCTTCATATGGATGCTTCGGGAATACGACGACGTTGAACCTGTCATTCTCTCGGGTTAGTCATATCAACCTCTCTCTCCATCGAGTACTTCTGATCCTTGATTTCCATTTCACAGTTGGTGAAGATGAAGAAGTGAGCATCAAAGCGGTCGCAGACGCCATTGTGAATGCCGTGGGCTTTGAAGGAGAATACACCGTACGTCCCACACACAACATTACCAAGTCAGCCATTCAGCTAACCCTCTCTAGTTCGACACTACGCGCGCGGACGGCCAATTCCGGAAACCCGCATCGAACAAGAAGCTTTTGACGTTGATGGGCGGGTTCGAGTTCACCCCTTTCGATAAAGGTGGGTTACATTCACTTGTTTATATTGGATCTCCCTTTCTTACGACACCCTACTTTTACTTTACACAGCGTTGGACATCACCGTGAAGTGGTTCCTAGAGAACTATCACAATGCCCGAATAGGTTCATTGGCAAATAGATCATGAAAGACGTACTCAACTTGAAAACGATATCCGATGTGGACTATGTTGGTAGAAATGAATGGACTTGCGATTGTACTATTACTACTTTTGGACTTGGAGTGAATGGATACCTTGTATTAGTCTCGACACCAGCCGTTACGGTGATATTACAAACTTGAGGGGTAGAGATATTTGTACTTGATTTGTACCGCCTTTCCTTTGAGTTGGCTGGCTGTACTTAGATCACAGCCTCATGTCAACAACATGTCTAAGCCTTTAAGTACCTCCAGATATGATGCATTGCATTCTCTCCCGCTTGTATTGCACTAGCAACATCGATAAACCGCATGGCTTTCTTCCCCTTTGCATCAGGTTTTACCATCCAAGACTGTCATATGCATGATGTAGCTGGGGACGCCTACTTCAACTACAACTTCATAAGATCTACAGGTTTGTCCGGAATTTCAATGTTTCAACGATGTTGCTAAAAGTGATGAGGAAGTTCGCGATGAAACTTCGGACGGCCTAATGGTTCGCTTCTTGTCGTGGTTCATTCGTCTTTCTGAAGTTCCTTTCTATATCATAGATCGTACATACAAGGGACATGAACTTGCAAAGCGAAATAGCAAGGGGTTCCAATTATTACACGTACTCTGCGCTCTATGGAGGGTGCGTTGTGGCAGTCAAAGTCTTCAAAGGTCCTGGCGCCGAGCAGGTGAAAGTTTCTCATTCTACTCGGAGGATTTGTTGATTGCAACTCTCGCAGAATTGGAAGGACAATGTTGCTTTGACTAAAGACCTTTTGTGAGTATTGTCTACAAACTTTCAGATCATCTAATGGCTCGTCACTCGCTTAAAACCCAGCCATCCTAATGTTACAAAAATGATTGGGGTTTCTGGCGAAAACACAAAAAATCCACACATCGTTTACGGAAGTGAGTCTCTAGCATTCTGATTAACTCACTGTACTTACGGAGGCCTTAGTATCTGACAAAAAAATGACTTTATTGCTAGCCAAAGCGTTGCGTACCGATTTGAACAAGAGTGTTCAGCTATCGATAAAAACGGTTAGTTCTCGTTGGAAATGGTGATGTGGCCTAACCACGCAAACGACTCCAGGTCAAAGGTCTTGCGGTATGGATAGCTGTTTCAGCCATTTCTCCGCTTACATACATGTACATGTCCAGGCGGGACTAATTTACATGGAATCTCTCAACCTTTCATCAAAAGACATAGTTAACATTTTGAAATTGGAGGTGAGTATACTAGTCTAGTCTTTCACAACGAGAAGACGCTTACTTTCGAGGATCAGAACTTCGACATCTTTGTCAATGGCGGCGATGAGCCAGTTCTTTCGATTCACTTACCGGGTACCACTGCTCAAGGACACCACCATCCGGATTCTTCTTCATACCATTTCAAAGACCACCACATTGGGATCGAAATATTGAGCGGGCTCTGTCAAAAAGTTCGTAGTCTTTTTAGGCAGACCTATCCATCGCTGTGATAAAGCATCTTCTCCCACTCCAGCTATTTTCGGAGGTCAACTCCTTCCTCTATGGTACCATGTTTATTTTTATGTTTTTTTACAGCCGCTGAAGTTCAATGACAGATGATCTTCCAGAGAAGGAACTGGACACCGACGACTTCGTCGAAAATCACTCAATGGTCGTTCAAACCAATCGGGAAGGCCACTCAAACGTAGCCGAGGACGCTTCGGAAGTGTGGATATCTCATCAAGTTCCTCGGCGTGAGTTGCGGTGGAAACTTGACAAGAGTGTAAGCAATCGAAACCTCGAGTCTATAGTGCGCTGTTTCGACTCGGACCGTGTTTGGGCATCCTCAGCAGACTCTCCCCTGCCTCGTATCACAGCATCACCTCACAAATGGGGTTCCCATCGTTGTCCTGGGTATCTTCGTGAGGAAATAACCCTTACGGCGGATGTGTCAAGGAGCATTGTTGTTGCTCACCAATACCCCAGTCAAAATGAGATCTGTACGATATGTGGCCAGCTTGTTCGATATCCTCACAATCCAGATTATACTACTAAGCGTCGGCGACAGCCGCCGCCAAAAATGAATATCTCGGCACCATCCATCAGGAGTTATGTGCCTCATTCGTTTTCTGCGTGGCAACGTGAGTCTGATTATCTGCGAAGCTACAATTCGGAGGTACCTCATCATTTCCGTCTCTTTGTTGTTGCAGCCGATCCTGCCTTGGTGCCTATGCCACCGTCTGGGGAGCCAGTTTTGCACATTTTTGGGAGGGGAAGTCCTGGGTTGTTTGGTCCCCGCTCACCCGCCAACTCGCGCTGTGAGTTTTAATTATTTGCGAAGCGATTTGCAGCTTATTCTTTCTATCTCATTCTTGTTGCAGACAATCCTTCCATACAACTCACACTATCTCCTGAGGAGCCGACTGCCGTACATGGTGTTGGAAGCTCCAGGTTGTTCGGTCCTCGCTTGGAATCTGACGCAAACCGGAGCATTGCGACGTCAGAGACCCAAATAGGCAACACTCAGATGCAGGGCAGCATCCCACCACCCGACGCCCAGCGGTCTCGTCCCTCGCCAGTTGTGAAGTATCTCCGACTCTGGAACAGAGTTTATGGGAAAGGTAAATCGCGTGCTTCGCCAACTGTCGTGTGATGGCACTCCGACGAATTTCGGGTACTATCAGTGTCCAGGAGTTTGATATGCTATTTTTTTCTGGACCAATTATGAGTCTCACCAATATGAATGTCATTTTTTTTCTCTGCAATACCCGATACGTTAGTAAGGGTTACATCAGCAAGATGACATCTGGCTAGAGGTGCTAGAAGTGCTAGAAAACACTAGAAATTACTAGATGCCCTAGAAATGCTAGTACTAGAAACCTTTTTTTCCCTAGTACGTCATAGTACGTCCTAGCGTTTCTAGTAACTCTTACTTTTTCTAGCCACTTTTCTAGTCACTTTCTAGTCAACATTAGTGGTCATTCAGCAGCTCGTTACTTATTCTAGACTTGTGTTTAGTTAGGTTAGAAAGGCTTTTGAGCATCCTTATACACTCTCTTCTCCAATATGCTTAGTTTTTTGTTCATAGATATACTGTAGCATTTCGTTCAATTCGACGGTCACGCGTCACGGGGCCCTTCAAATTGCCGAAATGTCACGGTGGTCACGCAGATTTTTGTAAGGTGTCGAAATCGTCTGGAGCTCTGTGATAAATGTCGAAAATTTGCCCAAATTTTCGGCTTGTCACGGCGAATTTGTGAGGTTGCCGAAACCAAATTTTCGACAGACCTGTCACGCGTCACGGGCCCTGTTGAATTGAATGAAATGCTACAGTATGCATTGATTAAGTTGACTATACTGGTACAGAGATATAGACATGGGCTAGTGTCACCGTGTCGAGACCAGCGGAGGACAGCGTGTGGACGACAATTGCGTCAACAGTGAGGCAGGAGAGTATGGTAGGTCATCCTTACTTATGACAGAGAACGGGGCGATGGATGCGAAGCCTGATGAGGCGACGGTGCACATCTCATCGACGGTTCAGCCTGTATTTGCTGTGAAGAGAGATATGTGAGTTGGAATGTGTGGTGTCATTACAGTAATAATGTCTCAAACAGGCTGGCTCTGCACCTTTAGGTGTCAAAGATGTGCGGGGGCGATGGAGAGGAGCCAAAAAATCAGAAATCGGGTGCCGCGGGCAGCCGATTCTGACACATTTCCACTCGAGGTATGGCGAGGTATGTAATGTACATGTAAATATATAGGAAGAGGGTGGGTGGGTGACGAAAAATGAGAGAAAAGCTCAACTATGAGGATAGAGTGAGCTATTGTAACGACAACCCTAGAGAAGAAAAGAAATTCGCACCTAGCTGAGGGAGTGAGGTGTTGAAACGAGAGCCCTACAGAAAGGGGGGTTTCATCTCACTCCTCAGCTGGTAGTGCGAATCTAAAATAAGATAAGATCCGAGCGTGGATCATGAAGCGTGTATCCAAGCGTGGATATCGAAGCACATATCCAAGCGTGGATATTCAATGAGCAGCGGCTCTGAGTTACGCGTCAGTGGACACAGAGAGTTTGAAGTTGTGCGTGTGTAACTCAAGCTTTGGCCAGCTTTCATTGGACTTGAGTAAACAACGTTTAAACTCGACCAATGACACTTAAGCTTGATGGTGTTACAGAGGCGACGTGGGACATGAGATAGCCAAAAAATCAGAAATCGGGTGCCGCGGGCAGCCGATTCCGACACATTTCCACTCGAGGTATGGCTATAGTCCTATATTGAAGAAATAAAAAATAAAGTGATGAGTTCACATAGTGAAGGATGTGAGGAGCGGGGGGAAAGGTCTCGGTACATGCAGGATAAAAATTCAAAAAATTACAACTTGTCCGATAATAAAGTGGTTGATGTCCATAGTAGTCGAGATGGCGTAAGGCCATACGTGTTGGGGTTGATAAGAGTCCATGGGTGAGAAGAGTCTGTTGGTAAAGTAGATAAGAAAAGTCTATTGAGAAAAAGAAAAGGAAAAAAAGGTCGTTTCTCCAAAGCGTGGAGAAAGGTGGTTTGGGATCGCTTGGTTTGTCCGAAAAGGAGTGCTTGAATGAGCACGGGGTTTTTTTGAACGTAGATTTTGAAGGCGTCTGACGCCCATCTGCCAATAGCTTGAATTATTGAGGGTGGTACACCATTCTTGGCTAGGGAGGTGGCTCCTCCAGCACAGAGTGATTGGCCGGCGGTGTCGGAATTGAACAAAAATTGTTTGCGAGGGTCAAACTTGTGTGGGTTTTTGCGTATGATGATCGTATTTCCTTCGAAAAACCTGTCGGCCTTATGTCCAGGCAGGAAGAACTTGTAGGAAACGTCGTCAGATTGCACCGAGCTGTGCTTTGTGACCTTTCTCGGATCTTGGAGTTCTGGGTCGTCAGGGTAAGTCATTTCGCCTAGTCGGAGTAGTGCAAAGAAGCCTGTCAATAGCTGAGCAAGGAAGAGCGTGTCGTCATAATCAGTGGAGGAGGAGAGTGCATCGACGATGGTTTCAAGGTCTCCTATGGTGAGAGCACGTTTGCGCGAGGTGGGGACGGCTCGCATTCTCTTGCAGCCCTGCAATGTACGATGTACCAGAGCAGAGTTGCGAGAGGACCGAATATCCGGGAAGTAGGGTTCCAATTGATGGCATATGCCTGATAGGTACGTTCCCACCGAATCGGGTTTGATGTGGTGGCACATGTAGACGGTGAATAAGCTTAAGGCATCGGGGGTTGGGTCTAGTGGGTAGTCGTGCATTTTCACAAAGTTTAAGTAGGAATTGAGTGCTGATCCATAATTTTTCCAGGTTGAATTGTCCACTGCTTGTCCGAGGGCAATAGCACGCTCATGGACGAGGCGCTCCTGCGTCCAGACTTCCCTGAGGGGTTGTCTGGACTTGACGTTTGACGAGATCATTTTTGCGCAGCCCCCAGCGTCAATTGAGGGGGTGTAAAGGTGGATATGGTAAGTCCAGGCACATGTTGTCGTGCAAGGTCGAAATTTCTCCGCGATATCGCATCGGCAACATAGTTAAGTTCTCCTGCGATATGGAGCACGCGTAGGTGGAGGCTACCCTTTATGAGGGTGTCAGCGGCACTGATGAGGATGCTGTTATATCGCGGAAGGCATCGCAAAGTATTGAAGATGGCCACTGCATTATCATTATCAGTGTAAATCAATATGCGCGACGATTTTGTAGGGTGTTGTGAGTCATCAATGTAGTGGAGTGCAGACAGGACACACAACGCCTCGAAGTAAAAAAATTGTTCCTCGTTTAATCCATCAGGTACAGGTGAGTAGAAGCCGACACATTTGTCAGGCCACCAAAACCCCATACCCTCAAGACAGGCATCACAGTATATCGTGAAATCGGCAGATGAGGCATCCCATCGTAAATGTTGGATGAGGCGAATCCCTGAATCTTTTTCAAGGTGTCCAACTGCCCAGGACAAGTCGGCGCGAACAGCGTTATTAATTCTGACACATCTGTTTGGAGCATTTTTGCCACTTATCTTTGCATAGAAGTTGTTGAGAGCAGGTCGGAGGAGAGGGAAGACGTTGAAGCTCCAGTTCATCCAACCAGCTAAGAGTTGCCATTCCTTTAGTGAAAATCTTTGACGGTTGGTAATGAAATCGGTTATGGCAGCAATTAAGTCTTGCAATGAATCCAGGGGCATGGACATGGACAGCTCGTTAGCATCGACTTCTATTCCAATGATGGTGAGGACTGAGCCGTAGACTTGTTTCTTCTCCTTGTGTGGCAAGTTAATCTCATCCCAGAGTTGTAGGATCTTGACTTGATTCGTGGGCATGAACTTTCGATAAGGTTCATACCAAGTCACATTGTCCATATGCTCGGGACTGAACGAGTCATCTGAGTATGTTCCCAGTAACTCCACATTGCGCTTTTTCTTCGCAATCCACGAGACGAGGGACATAAAAGCAATCCAGTTACAACCTGAACCGCGTCCGCCGAAGGCACAATTCCTGTCAATATGTAAGGAGCCATCAATCCGATTTGCTTGCTTTATTTGCCAATAAGGGTGTACTGGTAGTAGCCGATAAGCTTCGGCGACGTCAGACTTGAAGAGGGTTCGAGGTGAGTCAGGACTTCGACGATGCATTGATAGGAGAAACTCCCCAAGATGGCACAGGTTGTCTAGTGGGTACCCGACAATGTCATCATGGGGTATCATACTGTTCAAAGAGCAATTCCCTGCACTTTGGTGAGTAACCATTCACAAATCTGTTGAATGAGGTTTGGGAATGGCAAATACTGGCATGCAATACATCCCTGGTAAAAGTTTTTCTCCAAATGCTTCGGAGAAATGCCCCTTGAATATTTCGTGATCACGTTGGTCACGTAAAAATTGGGCTTCCTTGGGATCATCCGTTTGAGGGTAGGAAAGGTCGAGCGTGTCTGGATATTCTCCAATGTGGGTATCGGCCCATGGCCAGAAACCCTCACGGAGGCCACGGCACACTGACTCTACGAATGGTTGGTTCAGATGCGATTCCAGGAGAAGTTGAAAGCGGTCGACATAGATGGGGGTAACGATGTCGAAAAGGTTTGGGTTTTCTGTAATTGTCTTCGTAGTGACAGGGTTAGCCAGTTCTGAGCTTGGAATGGTTGGCAGGGGTCTTGCTGTTTCAGACCAATCAGCGGACAATTTGGAGAAATAGTCGTAACCCTCCCAGATATTATGACGAAGGTACTTAGGTTGAAGGTCTAGAGCTAGATCCTTCTTTACAATCGCCAGACTTTTTGCCGTGACCCGTGCGTTTGCATTTTCTGCAGGCATGCTTGAATTGACAGTCTTCGGCTGAGTTCTTGCACCCGTTGATTGAATTATAACAGTGGCATAGTTCGGTTTTTGAGATTGTTCTGCCTGTGAGTCGCTTAGACGTGAGCCGAGAATGGTCTGACTCGATCCCATCTGGCATGACGATGGCTGAATAGAATCTGGAAAAACGGTGGGTGTCTGTAAGTAAAGCATTCTGGCCTCCCCCGACTTCGTTCCTGATGGCAGTATCGTACAGGATGATTTTTCGGTGGGAGGATGCGACTCTGGCTGAGAAATGGCCCTCAATGTATTCCCCATACTCCCGGAGTTCTCGCTCTCGATGA